GGTATAAAGCCAGATTGGTTGCGAAAGGCTATTCTCAGGTACCAGGACACGACTTCACTGCCACCTTCAGCCCCGTGGTCAAGTTCTCCACCTTCTACGTTATGTTAACTCTGGCTGTGACAAACGGATGGGAGCTCAGGCATGTGGACATCAACAATGCGTTCCTTAACGGGGACCTAGGTGAAGATGTTTTTATGGAGCAACCTCCTGGCTTTGAGATGATGGCAGCAGATGGAACTCAACTCGTCTGTAAGTTACAAAAGGCCCTCTACGGCCTTCGACAAGCGCCTCGAAATTGGCACACCAAACTTAAAGACAGTCTGGAGGAAATGGGATTTAACTCATCTCGTGCAGACCCTTCTTTGTTTGTCAATAGGAAGCATGAGAGTGATACCTATGTGCTGGTTTATGTTGATGACATTGTCATCACTGGGCAGTCTACTAGTAGAATACAAGAGGTGGTGCAGGCGCTTAGACAACGCTTCTCGCTCAAGGACTTAGGTCTGCTCAGTTACTTCTTAGGCATTGAGGTGCATCGGTCACGAGATTCTATTGTTCTGAGCCAAAAGAAATTCATCCTCGAGCTACTGGAAAAGTCTGGCATGACAGGAGCAGCCAATTGTGGAACACCGATGGTCCTGTCTTCCAAACTTTCAGCAAATGAAGGAGAATTGATTTCTAATGCCACTGAATATCGGAGTACAGTTGGCTCTTTATTGTATGTGTGTCACACTCGCCCAGACCTAGCGTATAGTGTCGGCAAGGTCGCCCAGTTCATGCATGCCCCGAGAGAAGCACATATGGTTGCTGTCAAAAGGATATTGAGATATCTGGCTGGGTCGGTTCATTATGGGCTGATGTTCCAACCAGGAGATGATAGTCTGTCTATTGCAGCGTTCGCTGATGCAGACTGGGGAGCAAATGTCGATGATCGACGGTCGATCTCAGGATATGGCGTCTTTACTGGTAAATGTCTTGTGTCCTGGAGCTCGAAGAAGCAAAAAACGGTATCGAGGTCGACGATGGAAGCCGAGTATAGGTGTGTAGCAGACACTGCTGCTGAGGTAACTTGGGTTGATACCTTGCTTAAAGACCTCGGGTTGCAGCAACATCAAGAACCGGTGATCTGGTGTGATAATACAGGGGCTATTGCGATGAGTGCAAATCCCGTCTATCACTCTCAGTCTAAGCACATTGATATGGATGTGCATTTTGTTCGAGAGAAGGTCGCGGCTGGACAATTATTTGTGAACTATGTACCAGCTGAGCATCAGGTTGCAGATGGCTTTACCAAGGCTTTGTCTAAATCTGCTTTTGAAGAGTTTCGAAAGAGTGTGTGTGTAGTGCCTACTGTTCAAGTTGATCAAGATAAGAAAAGTAGAGGGAATGTTAGGCTTTGAGAGGAGAAAAGGAAGAGCAGGGGGAATGTTAGAATACTGTAAAACTGCTGTAGGTACAGCACGTGTATGTAAGGGTGGTTAGGCTGTTAGGTTGTTAGTCAAGTTAGTTAGTTTGTTAAGCGGTTAATGACTAGCTAAACAACTGCTATAAAAACAATGTATCAGTTGATATGAATTCAAGTGATTCTTTACTGAGCATATTTTTTCTGTTGTTCACACTTCCTAACAACCCCCTACTGCTCTCTCAAGTCTTTTAGGCAATGATAAACTAAGCATGTGTCTGTTGTAAGAACCTGGTTTTTTTCTTCTTTTAAATAAAAAAAAGTAGGTTGCAATCTTAAATTTTATAAATATTCATATTTTAAATATCAATTTTGTATAAAAAATATCATTTTCAACTTTCGTTTTTTTAATGGAAAATCTATAATTTATTTTAAAACAATAAAACAATTTTATATTATTTTCTTACATTCACTTTTGTAAGTATCCCATTATCTAATATTTATTAATATTTAAAGTATTGTTTTTAAAAGGAAGAAAAACAAGTATATAAAAGTGTTGCGTGAAGAAATGCAATAACGTGAGCTGACCTGAAACCCATTTTCAGTATATATATTTATGGTTATCTTAGTGGTTCACTATGAGCTCCATAGCATAAGCACAATGGAATTTTATTTTTATTTTATGTTTTAAATATTAAAAATAATTAAATTAAATATAATATTTTAACTTATAAATCATTACAGAATCAAATATTAAATGTCTAAATTCTGACCCATTCAATAACTTTTCCAAGTTAAGGTATTATGTCAATGATCAAATTCATTTCAATTTACTTTACCTACACCCTTACCTCACCCCCCTTATATTTTAAAGGATTTTTATACAAACTGATATTTACATTTTATAATTTTTTAAATTAATATCCGAATCCTTTGTCTTCCAAATTTAATATTTTATCTAGGTTGATTTGATATTTTTATAGTATAAGTTATTGATGCAATACCATTAAATGTTTTAGGCGTATTTTTTTTTAAAGTAGGTGTATAATGTTTATTTTGTTATCATTTATGGTGTTTAACCGTTAACGAGTGTTAAAAATTGTTATCTAAACTAGTGCTTGATACTAATATGTTTTTAATTTCTTTTAATTTTTTATTTAAAATTTATAAATCTCCTAAATGAATCTCACTATCGAATCAGCCATCACGGGTCACTCTTTATGTTATCGAACTCTTATCAATCGATTATCCTCAAAATCGTTGCACATCGCCGATCGAAACAAGAATAATCATAACACTTGTCGCTAATCCCGTCTCAAAAGGTCTTATTTTTCACCATATCATCACTGTCGGTGAGGTTACATTATCATTCGTACCAAACTAAACCGCCTGAATTTCGTTCGTCGCTTGAACCTCAATTATTCAAAGATATTTAGAAATTTAAGGATTTGAGTTTTTTTAATTATAAAATTTAGAGTTTTATTTTTAAAAATAATATTAATTAGAAATTAATGGTATGTGTTAAACAACAATTGATTGACAATTTTTTTAACAATCGTCAACGAGATGATATTAAAATAATAATAAAATAAAATTTCAAACATCTTAAATGTCATGTAATGAATAAATATTAAACATCTAAAATAACATGTATATATAGTTAATAATTTAAATATTTATTTTTCAATTAAACTTTTACAATAGTATAACGCCGACATTAAGTATCAAGTTACAAATTCTTTTTAAATTAAAATAAGAATTTATATAATATACCTAATTTAAACATCAATGGTTGATTTTTTTATTCGCCTGTTCTGCCACGGCTAGACAAAGGGCTCAATCATGGTGATAAATATATATAATCTATGCCGTCCTTAGGCTTTGCGACCATCCACTTGGCAATCATACAAAGCACCAATGACCCACTCTTTTAAGCTTTCAGGTTATGATATCACATCCTTGTGTACTCTCACAACACATTTTTTTAATCCTTTCTTTGTTCATAATATTTGGTGGATGATTGCCATAATTGATTACTTGCAACTTCAGCTCATAGATTAAATATGGGTTTAATTATGTGGAGTGAGTCAACAAACAATACAAGGGACATGCTCCTTTGCATGGAAGACGCTTGTCCTATACACCAATCAAGCTCTGTGCTCCTCCTCAGTTACGATGGATGAAATTATTAGTGGACTATAATTATTATGATTATTTGTAAGTTAATAATTTAATTAGATTTAGTAATTAAATTTTAAATTTTACGTTGATAGATCATTTAAATATGTTAATGATTTTATTTTAAAAAATTGTGTTGTAATTAATTAGAAGGTTATATTTAGAGAGAAACTAATCGAAGATTCGGATGGATAAAAAATCTGACTGAAATATCTTAATTGACGAAGAGGTGATAGTTTCTATAAATTCGAATTAGAGAAAGCTTAGTAGTTTTTGGAGGTCAATCTCGAGAGATATAATAATAATAATAATAATAAGGGTAAACTATATGTTGTCACATTATAAAATAATATTACATCATTATTAATAGAATTTTTAAATATATCATATTAATAATTCTGTTAACTTTTTAATGACAAGTAATTAATAGTTTGATGTGATTTTGAAAAAAAAAATTAGGGGATAATTAAGTTACTAAAAGTGTAGTTTACCCTAGAAGTGAAGTGTAAACACTGTAGAGTAGGTGCACAACAGTAGCAGAATCTTACTGTTAAAACTATTTTCTGAATCTGTTGAGCTACAAAATTTTCAAAGGGTTGGGAATATTTTTCAATTGTGTGAAAGTTATTTGAAATTTGGGTCCACGTTTCTTCGTGTACAAGGAACACTAGTCTTCCAAATTCAAGTATTAGTTAACCATGTTTGCCTACAACCTTAGACCTATACTCTTTCCTGTTTCATGGTACATGAACAGCTCATTTTCCAATGTCTTATACTTCGAATGTAGGAAATTCTAATTTATTATTAAAAATCAATAGAAAATCGATTATAATTGAAAATTTTATTAAGAATATAATGTTTTAGATTGAATAAAGTAATTTTTTAAGTTAGGTTATAACAAAAAATATCACATTATTCATCATATTTTTAATTGTAAGCCTTAAACTCCTTACAGAATAAGTATTCGGTTACAACCAAAAAATATTATAAATTTTATAATATTTTAAATCGAACTTGAAACGGTCTTAAATAGAAATTAAGCTGTCGTACGGCAGAAATATCCGGTGAACATGAAGGAAGATAAGCCGGTTGCAGATTCCCTACTCTAAAATATCATAGCCCTCTTTGCTTAAAGAACTTGTTCTGCAATGTTCATGTGCAAAGCAATGTGAAGTTGACTATATGATAAACAATGATAAAAGTACCAAAAGGAGGGTAATATTGCTAACTTTGATAACATTTGGAGATTAAATTACAAAGGGTACCCTTTCTTCTTTTTCCTTTTTTTGAATTGCTCTTGTTTTAATGGTTGATGCCGATCAAAGACAGATTACCAAACACTAGACTGGTTTTTTTCCCTATGAAGAGGTTAATCTGAATCCCAGGTACATACAGGAAAAGAAAAGTGTTGAACCATGTCTTTTTTTTAAGGTTTTCTTCTGAAATAAGGAAAACTATCGCAACAACTGCTTTCTTCATGGTCATCCGTGTCATTACTCGAAACTTGAGTGATCCCACTGGAGACAGAGGATGAAGAAGGGACAAGGTTCAAGTCGGTCTTGTTCTTGGTCAGGAAATCATAGAAAACAGGCCTGCTCTTTGTTCTTGGTTTGCTGCAAGATTGTTGTTGCAGACCACCTTCATCGTTTTTAGTACTTCTTTTCTTCAAGAATATGCGGCACAATACCCAATTTTCCATAGGAACCGCATTGGTCTACACAAGTTTTTGAAGAAAGAAAAACAAAAATCATGGATTTGGTTCACCAATGTAACATGCCAGGTTTTTAACAGAAACAAGCAAAGAAGCGAGAGTTTTACCTTGGTTTGGTTCTTCTTGTCTAGTGGGGCATTGCAGGCCGATGTCTCGGCGCTGACAATTCGATACTCATGCATAATCCAATCTGTTCGACATCCATTCGGGGCTTTTCCTCCGTAAAAAACCAAGGTTTTCTTCATCCCCACAGCTTGGTTTCCCCCGGATGTCACGATTTGTTTGTCGAGTCCGGTTGCTTTCCAATAGCCTGAAACCGTGGCTCTGTTGGATCTATTGGTATTGGGATACTTAGCTTCCCTTGTGCTGAAAAAGTACCTCTCCTGCTCCAAATCACCTGGTTTTATGACAAAACACCCATATGCATAAAAAAAACCAATTCAATTTGGTTGTAGAATGAGAATTAGATTATGTACGCGAGTTGTTCAACCAACCTGGCAAATCCCAAGGGTCGGCTTTGCAAACATCGACCTCGGGAATGATAGATGCAGGCAAGGGCCAAGCCAGCACCTTTCTTCTCAAGTATTGAACCACTAACTCTTCATCCGTGGGGTGGAAACGAAACCCAGGAGGCAATCTCAGCACACCATTCTTCACAAAATTAAGCTTCTCCATCTTCAACGACAAAAGAAGAAGCCTTGAAGGAGATTAAGAACAAAAACCCAGAAAGGAGTCTTGAAAACACCCAATGGAGCCTATAATTCAAGCATCCCACAAAGAAAAAAGGGAAAAGCATGTAAATTAGTGAAATTGAAGAGAGAGAGAGAGGTGGGTAGAAGAGAAGGGAAAAGTGTGGGCTCTTTATAGATGGTAATGGTGTGAATAAGGAGGATGAGAATGGCGTAAACAAGACTCAATCTTTATTTAGACGCTAAATTAACGACGGGTGTAACAAGTAAAATCAAAATTGGAGTCTCTTGGAAAAGGGTTTAAGATGTTTTTTAAGATGAAACAACCGAATGCGTCTAAAGTGGGAAGCCTAGTTGTGTTGTGTTGGACTTCTTCGTCCCAATGCGTATGGGAATAACCGTAGCTGCTTCACTTCTTTTTCAACTCTTTTCCTTCCTTCCATAATATTATCTTAACCTTACTTTCTTTTTTTATTATTATTCATTTCTCTCCTCTCTTCTACTCAAATTTGAATTCAGATGTCTGAATTTTTTTAATTTATTTTTAAAAACTCAACATTAATTATGAATTGGATCTAAATATTTTTTAATATAAATACTCATATTTGATATATTAATCAATTAATTCAAATTAGATATTATGAAAGTTTAATATAGAGGTCACTATCTCAATCTATTTTGTTCAATTCACAATGCTATAATTTAAATTTCTGACCTTATTTCAGGGATTTAGTGTCTCATCTCAATAGATCAATTAGTTATTGGTTCAATTTAATACTTTTTTTTACTATTGTTATACCTTCGAAGGTCACTTTTGAAAATTACCAGTTCCCCGTCAGTCGATACCTCAGATAAAATCCTTCGCTTACCAGAAGTTTCAAGGAATTTATATCCTCGTGGCACATGAGTATCATATCCTCCGAATCAACTACAATACATATGCAAGACTTATGATAGACTCAGATTGACCTACCATAGTGAAATTAAAAATCCATTAACCATATATATTTAGTCTGCTAACTTACAAGTAGTTATAATATTATATGTTTGATACCACCAGCTAGAGTCACCATAAATACATAAAAATTATGACTGAGAGAGTGAACCTCTCTACTTTCTTCTCATTCTTCTCTTCCATCTTTCTCCTTATGTTTTCATCTCTCTCACAAAAAAACATCGACCAAAGACGGTTACCTCACTACTAAAGCTCTTTATGTTGCTATAAATATCACTGTCGATCAACGAGACAAACTTATTCTCACCAACAAGTATAAATATCGGCATCCAACTCAAGGTAATTTAATTCAAATTGATTATTGCAAATTCATTTTAGATTAATTTTGTTAATTCAATTTACTACATTCACAACATCAAAAATTCATACTTTATATATTATTTAAAAGATCTAACGTCGCATCCTATTAAACTAATTAGTTATTGATGACTCGATTTCAATATTTGAATGCACTTTATTTATAGAAAACCACGTATATTTTTATATTGGGATATACTGACATTATTGTAAAACTACGTAAATTTTATATACTTATATAAATTGTTACCTGATTAATATTGTAATAATTAAATTGTTAAATTTATAAATATAACTGGATTTGTTATGTATATAAACTTTTAAATAAAACTAATATTTTTATTATATTAATCTAAAATAATGTTTTTATTAATACAAATATTTGAAACACATGCATATGTACGTGAACATTATCGATTTTGTGAGGAAACATTTACTCTGTTTAAAATTTGTTTTTTTATATTGAATTACCAATGATTGTATGTGTAGTAAAACAATTTATAGAAAATCGCCCTATTTTGGAATCAAATTTTAAATAAAGTAATTCTTTTATTTATTTTAAGATTTATAGAATCATAAAAAAATGAACCCAATAATATATACTAGACTAGTAGAATTTAAAATATAATTGCTTAATAATATTTTAATTGACCAACAAAATTGATTTAAGTGGTAAACAAATTGATATCGCTTAAGCAGATTTCAAATTCGAGTCATTGTGTATGCAGAAAATTCCCGTTGGGATTCTCATACACCAAAGCCAGGTGTATGACTCGGGTCAGTTCGAAATAGTCAAAACGAAGTCTTGAGAACCGAAAGGGCAATAAAAAATAATATTTTATTTGAGGTAGAACTTGATTAATTATGAATGGTATTAATTAAATATTGTTTACAATTGAATTATTTGATAAATATAAATTTTAAAGAACAATATTCTTAAAAAAAATAAAAAAAAAATGCATTGAACACATTATATATTAAGTGATGAGTATATCTTTAACTACTAATCATTTTCTATGCTCTTATCTTAAAAAAGTTATATCAAATAATTTTCACTTTAAATTATCAAAAAACTTTTTATTATTTTATAATTTTCACAAATCTTCATTTTCATTTTCCAATTATCATACTATCCTTTTCATTGCCGAAATTTTGGATAAATTGATATGGGGATAATTGGTCTCGATATGAAAAATATATTTTTTATTTGATTCGATACGAAAAAATTTATTTGAATTAACTTTGAGTTATAATTTCATAAACTTGATTCAAAAAAATTTAAATTAGAGTCTTCTTATAAAATAGAACTCGAATAACTCAAATTTTTTAATAATTAATATATTGATTTTCAAGTTTGAGTCGAGTATCTCTACTTTGTATGATATATGTATCTCACATTTAAAAAATATGAAGAAATATATATATTGTATATGATTATAATAAACTATTTATATTAAAATCAAATAGTATCATAATATTATAAACATTTACAATTAATTTAAATAGAAATTCAAACAACTCTACTCAAAACATTTAAATAAATTTGAAGTTATAAAATGGAACTTATCTACTCGAATAATTTTAAAATTTATTAATTCAACTCAATTCGATCGATCAACCACAGCCAGGGTGTTTTGGTAAATCTCGGTAGAAGAAGAGATGATATCATAATTTAAGATTGGTCAAGGGTGGAGGGCTTGTAAGGGGTGAAGTCAGCTTTATGTCATAAGGTTACAGCTGGAGCTCCCCGAGCAAAGCGAGGGACTTTATAATGAAAGTACGGAAGTACCCTTCACAGAACCCTTTAATAATGGCAAAGGTGAACGAATCGTTTTGATTGGGGACAACATATAGTTGGCCGTTGGTTTCTGGATACGGCAGCAACACACATTGTATCCTTCGCCGTTGATCTGACTGTAAATATCAAAACGTTCCAAGTACAATTTTTTTTATTAATTTATCAAGTTAAATAAAAAGATAGACACAATTATTCAGATATCGTAGAGCAAAAAAAAATCTCATATAATCTATCTCAAGAATAAGACGATATGAACAGTAATAATGTCAAGACGTTAGGAATATATGACGGTTATTTTATGCACATGAAGACGCGGGGACGACATGATTTTTTCTTGTGCTCCCTACATGACCAGTCTCCTCTACTATTTCATTTCCTTTCAGAAGATATCGTGTCATCGCACTATCTTCACGAAGACGTCAAGTGGTCCAGACATTTTTTTGAGATTACTATAACAAGAACCTCGTTTGAAAAATCAACGTTACGTACATTAACCAGGGAAATTGTTTTCCTTAGTGCATTATCTAAGCAAAATTATCACATAGATATGAATAATATTTTAAAATCTGTTTATAAAAGAAATCAAACACATATTATAAAATTCATTTATTTGTATCGATCCATGACTCATTTAATAAATCATTTGTAGCTTAATTATTCACGAAATTTGGTGGCTTAATTATGTGAGGATGCATTGTTTATATACCAAAAGAAATTTGGCAGCCTAACAGGTCAACGACAATGGGTTATATTATATATGAAAAAGTACACAAAAATGGAACAATGAAGCAAACTGGAGGCTTCAGTTGTTTTATACGGCAACAGCAACAGCTTCATTCATTAATTTTAATTATAACTATATGTATTATTCGTATAAAAAATAATAAGCCGTCTTTCCCCCAAAATAAATATCTTTTTTTAAAATTAATTAATTAATATTTTTAATGATATTTTATTGAAAAAATCCCATTAATTGTATAATATGTATAACTTGGCGATAGACAAAACAACTTGTAGAGAGGACGAAGATGAAGATAATAATGAAGAAAATAGATGCCCTTTGTTTCTTGGATGCCTGAGGGGTCCCTTGAAATTGACAATGCACCCCTTATTCCATACAATAACCATAACTTCGCTCTTTCTGATGTTGCCATTTGCCAAATTTCCAATTAGGGTTGGCACTTACGCTACTACGTCTCTAAATAGGCGGATTAGGATAGATATACACATGATTTGTATAAAATACATAGGAAAAATCTAAAATATGAAAGATTTTAAAAATTTCTAGGAAGGGGTGATTGCCCCACTCGCCTCCCCTCGGTTTATCTTCGAGGATTAGGACAATTTTTTCATAGCAATACTTACATTTAATATAGTATGTCGTTGAACTTATTATGTGATATCAGTGATAAAAGTGAATATTATTCTCTCCAAAGAATTTGAACTCGAATAGTTACGTTTGTTATTTATGTATTCGTTGTCAATTATTAAGAAAAATTTTGAACATATATTATTTTATAATCAATTTAGATTATTTAAAAAATATAATATCTTTTATGATTTGAATAAAAAAAATAACGACCTTAGAGGATTTATCCTTTATGAATTGAACGAGAAATCACAATTAAAATACCTTGAGGAAGGAAAGAAAACAAAATTAGATTATGATGAACAATAGGTGTGAAGTTCAAAATTCTACTTTTATATATATAATAAGATGATTAATATAATTTTAAAATTAATAATTATTTAAATCAACAAATAAATAAATCTAATTACTATATAATAAAGTTAAGTGGTCATCACACTGCATTTTGAAGGGTTTCTTCTCCTATATAGGATTATGAAAAAAATAATTTTTACATATAAGATATTTATCATATTATTTATTAAATTGAAATTTTTAATTGGTCTGAAAATACCATATATTCCTTGAGTCTTCTTCATTTATCTAAAGACGCAATACAATCGTAAATTTTTTTTTTATTTTCCTGAAAACATC